GATACTGGATATTTCATACTTCATGTACCTTCCATTTCCTTCCCACTTGTACATTAACAGTGCTCTTCAGTGCAGTTTCAAGAGAAGTTGCCTGTTGGATGGTCACCTTGAGGAAGATCAGCCCACTTGATAGCGTTCTGTGATTGTTGAGCATTTTAACCTTTTGCTTGCAAAAACAGTAAAGAAATAGTGACCATTGCAGAGCAGCTTTAAAGGTCACTGGGTAGGTTTCCTTACAAGGGCGAAAGGTAAAAATGTTGGGAGGAGGATAACTTTCGTTCCTGATAAATTTAACCACAGACAGTGCAACCCTACAGGTACTGTAGGGTCTCTAAAACCACCAATAATCTTCAAGAACTGCAAAACTATTCTGACTGGTCCTGTCTTCCTAAGATTGACAAGGGGAGCAAGGAGGCTGTTTCCTCTTCTCCTGCCCCTTTACAGAGAGACATCTCTGTAATGCTTGGATTGGAATGTATGCCACATATATTACCTTTGGAAGACCTCGTGGAGAAAAACAGGGATCTCATTTTAAGATCTGCTTCATATTAGCATCTTTTTGGAGCTGTGCTGGTAGTTTCTCACACGATGAAGGTCAGCCACAGTAATCTAACTTTTCCTACTCTCATGGTCTCTGCCAAATGATGATGTGCCTTTGCCTCCAATACAAATGGATGCATCTCCTGGCCTGGCAGAGCTGAAGTGGCCTGGAGATCAGCATATATTAATGCTGCATATCACCAGGCAAACAGACAAAATTAATGTTCTTAAACTAATGGCTCTTGATGCTTTGCCTCTTCATTATCTCACTTGTTACAGTAAAAAAACCAACAACTTGTGCTGTGTCTGTCACTGCAGCATAGAATCTTTTTTATTCCCTGTCGTACTGTAAAATGAAGTAAACACTTTTGTTGTTAGTCTTCATGCTGCAGTTGCTGATGGTACTAATTCCCTGTCTGCCTCCTCCTGCTAAGTCAGCATCCCTAGAAATTACCTCAGCAGGTAATTGCTGGAGTCAGTCAGCCTTTAGGGAGGGCAGCTCAGCTGAGCAGGAAGCTGCCAGCTGGGCAGTGATTAGGCAAGGGCAATAGTTACCCATTCGTTATCACAGCTGAAAAACTACCCAGCTGCTAGCATTTGCCTAAAAGATTCTCCTCTTTTATTTCTTAAGAGGAATAAGACAGACATCAAAACTACCATATATGCTAGCTAGCTATTTAAGTTTCTTTTTCTGCCATCTCCAGCTGTTAAGACAGTGTGTAAGAGGTGCTTAACCGGATTATAATAATTTTCCTTTCTCTGAAAAGAGATACTGTGGAAAAGTCAGGAGGAGTTTGTCTGCCTTGATTGATGTTGTCTGGGGGTAAGATAAGGTCTACTTAAGAATGCAAAAAGTTAATTACTATTTATTGGGAGCTGGGACAGGGAGGGGTTTATGCTTGCTGCTGGGGCTGGAAACACACAGCTGCAGTGCCAGCCCTCTCAGGGGGTTTCCTGGCTGACTGTGCCCGAAAGATGCTGTCCTGGCAGCTCCCACCACTAGATTTGGGTGGAAGAGCTGAGTACCTAGTGGTATAGGCAAACCTGGAATTTCTGTGTTGTCGTCTGTCTTCTGTCAAATATTGGATGCAGATATTTGCCAGATATGGGGAAAACAAAAACATATTAATGATATTTGAAATATTAACAAATCAATTATTTCAGGGCTTATGACAGGCTCTTACATTGAGAACCCATAAGATCCCCTAATGAGATGCCCCCTTTGGGGGGGTTATGTGTGGAGAAAATTAAAAAAATATATATATTTTGAGCATATAATTTATCAAATACAGTAGTTGAAACTTTAGCAAGCATTGTCTGTGTGCTCCTGTTGGGGTTTTTGTTTGTTTTAAAAAGTATGAACCTATAATAAAATAATTTTTCATTGCAGCTTTTTTATAAATTAAATCATAATTCACAGTTGATTAGCATTGTTAGTTAGCTGCAGTGCTAACTGGAGAAGCGTACAGCAGAAGAGTTTGAAGGGAACCTCTTCTGAAAAGTGTAAGCAGCTTTTAATTTCCCCAGTTTGGTCTGTGGTATTGGATTTACCTTCTCTCTTAGCAAGTCATTGGCAAGGATGTGTGTCTGATGATCAGCATTGGTTTTTGGGAAGAGAGGAAGCCACTCTTCATTTATTTTTGTCATTCATTGACAAATGGTTTCATTCAGGGCAAAATAAAAAGTTATTCTTATGAAAGCATATTCAGATGTGGGAATCCTAAATAATGCATGAAGCATTCGGTATGTATGAAAATGACCTCTGAAGATCTTCTTTTGACTGGCATAGTGACTCCCTTAGCTAGGGAATCACACTATACAACTATCGTATCCATGGCATATTTTTTTCCCCATTATTTGCTTATTTTTGTGTTGGAGTGTGTGTCACAAAGTATGTTTAGAGCATTTTGTTTGGTTTTGAGTTCACTCATTTGCTATGTGCTGGAAGCTTTTTTGAGTATCTCCCAGGGTCTAGTAATGTCTCTTCAGGAGCTGACTGCATAGCCGTGCATGCTGGACTGACACCTTAAGGACAGTGTTAACTGGAACCAGAAGCAACACTGTGCTAGAACACATTGCTGCATGCAGAAAACCTCTCAATAGATGTTGTTTGGAAATTTTTCTGGTTAACAAAATGCAGTACATCTGAATGTTCTGACAGGTTGTGTTGATAGCAGCAGACGTTGTGGTGAAGTGCAAATAGGGAATTTATTAGGTTTTCTGCCAAGTTTGGTTGATGCCTTGCTGCCGGAACTGCTTAATATTTCCACTTTGAGATTTATTGAGAAACATAATTAAAAAAAAAAAAAAAAGTGGGCTTTTGCCAGTTGCATCATAACATGGTGACTTTGCAAAGCCTTGAAATATTTTATTTTTTATTTTCTGGTGAGCTTTATTTACCAGTAGTGTCTTATGCCATCTCTTTTAATCTGGGTGATTCGGAAAAAAGCTACTATATTTTCATCCAGAAGTCAGCAGTTAGGCAGGACTTAGGCCAGTGTGTGTCCCAGAGTGGTGCCTGTTTCCTGGGTGAATCACCAGTCTGTAGGTGACTTCTTCAGTCTGTAGATAAGAGGCTTCCAGACATGTTGTCTGCAGTACGCACCTTATTCTTATTTTCTGTAGTATCTGACACATTTATTTATTTACTCTAACTCATAGTAAATTGAACTGCAGGCAGACTGTAAGCCAGGTGGGTTTTTCTCTTCACCTTTGTTTTCATCAACTGTAAAAACCATTCTAATCTTTGTGAGCTTGCTCTTAAAATGAGATTTTCAGTTCCCATAACTTTTTTTTCTACTTCTGTTGTACAAATATAATATCGAAGTTGGATTGCATTGCATCAGAGGATTTTTGTGTGTCCCAGCCTCTTCCACCTTTGTGGTCAGCCAGAGGAGCCTCATCTGAGCTCTTCCCTTTTGCTCCGCCAAGTTTTCCTTCCTCCCCCTCAGCACTCAGATAAGCTCAGTCACTTCAATGCTTTGTGGTCTGGGGAAAAAAAAAATCTATAGCAAACCTGGGGGGTGGGGAGTATCTGGCAGATACCGTGGTAATTCAGAAATGAGACAAAATAAGTCTGCCTATCAGTAGATAATATTCTGGGTATAATTTTGGGTGGTTTTCAGTTAGTTCCAGCGGTGCTTTCAGCTCAAGGCCAGGTAGCCAAAGATGTTGTATGGTTTAAAGCCATGACATTTAAGAACACAAGTGTGCTCCTTTTTTATAGACTTTAGTCTACTTTTAAAGTTTAATGGCTTTGTTTTTATTCTGTGTGTGTGGCAGAAATCTCAAAATAATGTCTTAGCTTAGCTAGTGGGGAAATTACTTTGATGGTGTCTTTATTTAATGATATTGGTTAAACCAGTTATAGATACTTGACCTTTTGAAGAACTTTTAATAACGGCTGAAGATTTCTATCATGATGAACTAAAGATAGGGTTCCCTGGTTTTTCTTCATTTTTTCATAGTAGGAGTCACATTTTGACTCAAGAAGAATACCTGATTTGCATGGTTGTGCAAGTGCTAACTGATTCATGTAGCGGCTGCTTATGTGTCAAAGTAAAATTAAATTTGTATCTATGTATGTGTGCTTAATGCTGTTTACATTCCACTACCTAGTAAGTGTATTTATATCTAACATTAATTCTAATAATATGCTGGTCTAATATGTTATTATTCACCTAGAAAGTTGGCTAACATTAATTTTAAGGGTTTTTTCTGAATATTGCTGCTGGAAATTTCGAGGGAAAACCCCCCCACCTCTTTGTATTGAAACTTCAGCAGACTTTTCAGCCTGAATCTCAATCAGCATTAGTTTCTAGTGGGGATATAGCCTAAAACCTGAGATAAGCTTTTCTGTGAAGTATCTCTAGGTCCCAATTAAAACTGAAGTTATTCTTCCTGGTAACAGTGCTCAGGCAGACTATGCCTAAATACCTATTAGATTCTCAGGTATTAAGAATGATATACTACTGCCTGTAGTACTTTTAACTGAAAGCCTATGCTGCATATATTCAGTATTTTAAGTATTTTAATGAATAATTACACTGTACAAGGAAGAGTTAGAATTGGCAAGTGCTGTGGTAAATACAGGGCAACCAGATGAAACTTAAGAATCTTTTCTTATACTCAGTGTCTTTTGTAGTGTCTTTAAACATGATATACAGTGAAATGCTGGTACAGTGATAAGTCTAATGGAGCTATTCATGAGCTAAAAGACTGGCTTGTTGCAAGAAGCAGTTTTTACAAGCCTGAGCAGAACTGTACTGAAGCAATTTAAGGTTCTGTAGTAAAGTCATGGAAGGCTGCAAAAGCATGGTTTCTTACACAGATATTAAGGATATTTAAAATTAATTCTCTTCTCTTGATAACAGTATATCTACCACCCATTATATTTTATTAGCATTGCCTTTTGGATGCTTATGGTTATTTTCTGTATTTCTCTCTCTCCCTCACCGTAGTGGAATTGGTCGAAATTGGCCATGGGCCTCTGGCGGCAGCAGCATTTTGGCAGAGTTTGGGACTTTGCATCTGGAGTTCGTGCATTTGAGCCACCTGTCTGGAAACCCTATCTTTGCTGAAAAGGTTAGACTGTTCATTCAAAATCATGTAAAAGATAAGTCACATGTCGGGAGACTAGTATCTGTGGAGAGATTTGTATTTTCCTCAGTTGTATGTATTTGTCACAGGAGGTAGATGTTTTCTAGATGTTTCCCTGGTCACCTTGGCATCTTTCTGTACTACAAAGTAAAAAATCTGTTCCAAAATCATTGTGCATCAACTTCTTGTGCACAGCAGTTACCCAGCCCCATGGGTATTTCTGTTTATGTCCTAAATTAGCGTTACATTAAATAATGTAGAGCTTTCTTCAGTACCTTACCTGAATGTGGTGAAAACAAAATTTGATGTTTTATTTGGGGTGATATGTAAAGCACCATGGCTACCTTGTGTGATTCCAGCAAGTTTAGCCTTCAAAATGACTGTAGAGTATCAGTGAGGTCAGAAAGTCCTTCTGTTGCACTAACTTTTATGAAATGTGCTCTCAGCTTCCTTTGGGGGAACTAAAACCCAAAAAAACCTCCTTTGACAAAGTAGTTGTTCTGCTTACTAATTCTTCCAAAATTTGGTAACATTATCTTCTGGATACTTTTTATTTATGTGAGTCATGGAAAGCAATTCTCCTTTCACCAGTTCCCTCCCAAGCAATTTTGCTTTGCTTTTTGGTACGTAAATAATCTGTGACTCCTGTTCTTTATAATATAATCATTTTTTTGGGTTGTTGCTTTTCTTTTCCTAATTAAAACTTCACCTTATTTTGGTGTTTGTATTCCTCCAGGTAATACACAACACGCCCAAGTGGCTCATGTTAGCTAGAACTGATCTTATGTCTCAAAATATATAATTAATAGTAAGACTCCAAATATTTAACAGTGGGTTCAAAGCAATTATTAAATCTAAAATTAGTAATGGTTGTATCACGCTTAATGGACTTGATGACTTTGCTGAGATACCATTGTCAGCACTGGAACTCCTAGCAATTTGAATGTATTCAGGGATTAATTTCAAGACAGTTTCTCTTAGGCACATCTGAACTTGGGGGGTGGGTAGGTGGGCAGGAACAGCCAGAAACAGACTTACTAGGTAAAGTAATTATCTTTTGACACTTACGGTAATTTAATGTGTAATATGTTCTATTAAGTGACAATTAAAGTGTGGTGCATATGTTGAATATCCTAGCCTATGGTTCTTCTCCAAAGCGCATCAAGCAATAGCTGCAAGGTGCTGGAAATCTCTGTGTAAACTGCACTTAAGACTGTTTAGGGATTGTGATTCCACTGCCCTCCAGGACAAGCTGTTTTAGAGATGGCACACTTGATAAAGGAGAAACACTAGAATAAACTTTGCATAGAAGTACTCATGGAATAATTCATTAGGTGAGGTCTAGGACTCATAGCCTGCATCTGGGCAGTGACTGTTAGCAATGTAGAGTCAAGATGGAGAAGGCAGTTTGTGCACCACAATAGAGATCCTTCTGTGACTTGGTGTAAGCTAATTTATCTTCTGTCTCAGCAGCTAGTTCACTTCATCTCTGGGCATTTAGAGTGTTGCAGTGAAGCTGTCAGTACCTCTTTGTTACAGTTTCTGGTTTGTGGTGCTTAGGACCTTTACTCTCCCAAGTTGCTACATTTGCTTTTTCTGTGAGTGTTTAAAATTCAGTATAAATTATTTCATGTGCTCTGCAATGGATTGTACTGCTGGATGACTCCAGCTGCTGAACATCTGGACTGTAATTGTTTCCCCAGGCCTCTCATTTGTAGGGAGCTCCTTAGCATTCAGGGCCCACAGGTTCCTGCTGGGCAAGCTGGCTGTGTGAGGCTTTGTTCCAGCAGAGCTCTCCTTTCCAGGCAAAACTGCTTTACAGTTCACTTCTGCATCTGAACTAGGTTATAGGCTTAATATTTAATACCATTTCTGATTTGGCTATACGAAGAATATAATGCTCAAGTAGCTGAGCTTAGTTAAGGCAAGTAGCCCCCATGAATTTCAGTGTCCTGGGGAGGAGTGAGATATTCTGTATGGCAGGACCTGAACTTCAGAGCTTACTTCTCTTGTGTGGTTTCATTACAAGCACTTGACATGGCAGCTTCAGAGTTTATGAGGAGCTCCTTTATGTGATGATGTCAGCCTAGAGTATGTCTTAAAATAGTAGTACGATTGCACAGAAGTATTCTGGTATTTATGTTGAATAAGACTTTTTTTTTTCATTTTGAGGGCTATTTGCACTTTAAGACTTTTATATTGACACTGTTTTATTTGGGAGGGGGGGCGGAAATGGATCAGTGCTCAGTGTTTTGTAACCTTTCCAATAGGTAATGAATATTCGAAAAGTTCTAAATCGACTGGATAAACCAGAGGGCCTTTACCCCAACTATCTGAATCCCAGCAGTGGCCAGTGGGGCCAGCGTAAGTAGATCACTTCTTTGGTACTGTGACGTGTCTGTTGGTGTGCTGTTTACAGTCATTCAGTTCTTTCAGTCACTGATATGTGGCTTTTGTATATATACAAAGAACTTTTATGAAGTATAAAAACTCATACTGTATCTGAGGTGTTCTATGCAATGTAAAAAATTACTACAAATCTAAAAATAATAATTGTACTTGCTGTGTTTGAATGTACTTTGGCTAATGTTTCAGTATGGCTCATGCTAACAGGGAAATGTTTGATTATGTATCCTTTTGGAAAGGAATTTGTAGACTACAAATCTTTTATTAAAAAATCTAAGGTACTTATGAATCAAATTCCACATTTTTAAAGTGATGTGGCTCAATTGAAGAAAAAAAAAAAACCTAAACCAAGTCATTTCAGTTAAAACCAGCTGTGATTTCTGTTGAAGTTTAATGCTAACGACTGAGGAAGCAAACTTGGCATTAATCCCCTTGGAGTCATTACTGAAGAAAGAATACTGAAGTATTTGAATTTCTAAGCCTCTTTATGATGACTGAGCTTTTTCTTGCACATTGCCTTCTCCAATCTTGGTAACATCTTCAAAGCCTATGTAGTGTGCAGGACCACAATTTTAGAGACCCTACTTCTTTTTCTACTTTTCCTACTTAGGTTCACTCTACCACCATCCCATTCATGTGACTCAATGTTTCCTCCCTACATTATTGGAAGAAAACAAGCAAGACATGCTGTCGTGGTCTAAAAAGACATGGGCAGCTAAGATGTTCCTGTAGATTATCTGTGTTAGACTACACATGAGAGGGAAAGCACTGGAGAAGTTCTTGAATACAACAGGTTGTTTAAGATGCAGCTAAGGTGGAAGTGAGGTTCTGGAGTCTGGGTAGATTATTTTCATAAAGGCAGAGAACAGGTGTTTTATTTTATAAAATATATTTGTAATGTTTTGTGTGTCAGTTTGAATTAAAAAGATGTCCAAAAAGATTGTGCTGCTCAGTTTTATTGTCCCATCAAGGCAAAGGCTGTTTTCCTTTATGAATTAGAAGTGTGGCCATAATTTTAGAAAGCCTTCCAATCTGTTACACTCTGAGGCTTCCTTCAGGTCACCATGTCACAAGGCCAGTAGCAGCTCAGTGTGTGTAACCATTGATACTCTGGCTGGCATGTTTGTACAGGCTCTGTATAACTGTACCGATCTGAGGGACGTGTGCCCACTCATTACTCAGTTTAGCCCGGCTCTGTAAAACATCAAAACTTCCCACTGGAAGTGTTAATCCTACAGCAACAGGCACTGGGCTTGGTTAGAAGGCCACCTCATCATCTCTCAGCCTGTGTTCAGCCAGGTCCAGTTACCTCCATCCTCAGCTGAAGTCAGCCACAGAAGCTCAGGTTTCTGGTGAGATGCATGAGAGCAGATCTCTCTAGGGATTGATGGCATTAGTGGCTCTGCCTTACTTTTTTTAAAGCAGACTAATACTTACTCTGCCTTATGACCTTTGCCATTTCCCTGTTTTTAATATAATTGTGTCTTCTGTAGTCCTTTTTCACATTAAATACCAGGTTTTGTTGATGTGCACAGGGAAACTTAGAGTTTATACTAGCTTTGCTTTCCAACAGCATGCAGTATTGACATAGAAAATAGCTTCTTGCACGTGCCAGTAATGGACACAGATGTTGATGCAGGTCAGTTCCTGGCATGCTGAAGCAGCTAAAGCAAATTTGAGCTTGTTTCATCTCTACCAATTCAGTTGCCTCTGTTCACAGACTCTGATTTATTTCCCCCCCTCCCCCCTGCCCCATAGTAGAAAATTAAAATGTGAGACTTGAGAGATATTTGAGATTGCATTTCCAGACCGTTTTCAGTTGATTACAACAGGAAAAAAAACATCTTAATTGGTACAAGACAGAAGTATTATCTCTCAAACATCAAGTGGGGAGAGGGGGAATAATTTCTAAACATTTCTCTATCAATGCTGTAACTGTGAAGGACACTGCTGGATCACTGCCATTTTTCCCATAAATTCACTTAGCCCTTGTTATTTTGACAGTAAAGTGACAGTGATCTGCTGCAGCATACGTCAGTTGGATTTTTCTACTGCAATAATGTATATAATAACAGGGCTTATTATTGATGAAACTGTGCTTGTGCTATTTAGTTTGCAAATGTCAGAGGTTTGTATGGTAATTTATTTAGGAAACTGTAAAGGTCATTTAAATGCTGCTGTTCAAAAATCAGCCTTTGATCAAAGAAAATGTTATCTTCTTTTTTTTTAAGAAGCCTCTTTTCCTTTTGGATCATGAACCTCTAATTAAATAAATGCTGTCTTCTTTTTAGACATTTAAGATATCATTCAAAAGAGGAGAGGGGGAGAGGAAGCCACTTATAATCCAGGTTATACAATTATAACATTATACAATGTATTTATTAGGCAAAGGGACAGGGTACATTTGGAAAACTAAATTATTTTTTGCATGTCTCAGACTAGTGGAGGAGAAAGATGCAGTTAATAAAGTTTGAAAAGAAAAAAAGTGTATCTTCTATGTTTGCATGGCTTTTACAACCTGTTCAGTAGGCGAAAGAAGGTGTTCCATGAAGACAAGAGATGAAGGAGGTTAAAAAAAAAAGTGTGTGTTCTTCTGAATTCCACCAACGGAGGCATAACTTTGAAGCTAAGATCAGAGCTAGGTGTGGGGAAGCACGAGCTCTGTACCTCCAACCTGTCTGCGTCTCGCTTTGCAAGCCTGGTTTACCCCATGCATGTTCTGCTTTTCTCATACTCAGAATTTTGTGGTATGACTCACAGACTTGCTGCCTGGTATATGCATCCTTTCACTGAAGACTCAGTAAATTCCTTAAAGTTATCAGGCAGCACCAACTAAAAAAAGAAAACCTATAGCTAGTGTTCTTAGTTTGCCAGAGCTTAGAGAAACACGTGTGTGTGTGTGCGTGCGCATAGTTGTATTTTATGGATCATGAGGATCTATGATGAAGTCATGTGATAACCCATTAAAATTTTGCCAAGAGTCTTTAAGGCTCTTGGACCGCAAATGAGTGCAACTTTGTGGAAGCAGCTGAGAGTGTCACTAACTTTTACATCACTGGAAGAATCTGACTCAGTTGGTGTTGGTGTTTGCAGGGTCACGTCCTAAACATGTGCAGTTGAACAGTCACAGCATCTGTAGTACCAGATCATTTCACAAAGTAAGCCTCGGGCAGAATAAAGTAGCATTATAGCAATAATTGTCTGTAGGTGTGGCAAAAGTCAAGAGTCTTTTTTTTTTTTTCCCCTTCTAGAACCACTGTTGAGTTCTGAAAGCAGCCAGATGTTCAAAACCATAATACTATTTTTAAACATATGGGTCGGCATTTTGAAATACCATAAAATAACCTGCAGTTTAACTCTGCACTAAGGAGCTAAAACATTTTGGCCTTTTTTATGAAGTGACTGAAATGGAGCATTAGTAAATAAAGATAATAGCCTGCATGTTATGAGGGGAAAACCTAGAGAGCACTTTCTACTTTCTGTTTTATTCTAAAAACTTACTGGTTTTAGAATAAAAAAAAAAAGGTGACTTAGATTAGCACATTTCTGTACTGGATACAGACTACATGAATTAGATGTTTAAAATAAAAATTCTTGTTTCTTTGCTATGAACTCCTGTGGTGCACTGTGGATATTTAACAACTATTATGCTTTAGCTTCATCAAAAACTTAGTAATTAAAGAAAAATTGTCTGAATATACTAGTTAAGTTTTTCCTATGGTTCCAGGCTTACTTTTCTTAAAAATTGTTGCAGGAAGAGATGTTTCAATGCATTAAAAGCAACCGTTTCAAACTGTAATTTTATTACCCAGTCTGAAGATGAAATCGCTATTGAATCTCTTCCCCTTTTTAGATCACGTCTCCATTGGAGGGCTTGGGGATAGCTTCTATGAATATTTGCTCAAGGCATGGCTGATGTCAGACAAGACCGATGAAGAAGGCAAGAAAATGTATTATGATGCTGTTCAGGTAAATAAGATATTTAAATCTTCCTTTCTTTATTATTCTAATCTATAATAATGCTAAAGAGACAGGCTCTGGGGACAATGTGAGGGATTTGTGTCTTTGCCACCACAGTGGTTTTTTTTAAAGTTTCTCTTTTAAAAAGACTTCAGCAAATAATAATGCTAGAGTAATAGGGGAGGGGCTTGAAGTATAGCTCTTTTTTTTCTAACTGGAAGACAGTTCTTTCTAACACTAGAGGAGAAAAGTATAAAATATGCAACAAAAAAGTGCATATACAAGTAGCTGTCAGAGAGAAGTGCAATTCTTTTTAACTCAGTTTGCCCTAAATGTATTTCTTCTGCCCTTTTCCTTACATACAGCAGGAAGTTCCTCTCTTGTGTTTGGACCATTCTATGATACTCTGACCACATATTTCAGCCATTAGAATATTTTGTTTGTGGCCAACACAAGAATCAATATATTATGGTAGATAATTGTAAAAAAAAATACAAATTTTTGTTGCAGAATGGATTTTTGTCACAATAGGCCATAATTGCCAGCTTCTGTGAAACAGCCAGTTATTCAAATTGGACACAAGAGAAAGTTATAAAACATCAAAATTTTTCATGCTTACATTTCTTTGTGGTAGTTCATTTATGATCTTTCTAGTCTGCAATTTACTTTGTTATTGATGGTATTTCCTTAATACAGTGCTGTGGGAGAAATAATGGTTTCATGAAACTGGATTGATACTTGCAAAGTATTATATTTAAATCCATATTTACAGGCTTTCCTTGCAGTCTTGGGCAAATTACCTATTTTCTCTGTTCTTTGCTTTCAAATATATATGTAAAAAGAGGATAATATTACTACTTTTTCCCCAGTCCTTTCATCTGTTTTGACTGGGAGCTTTCTAAGGCCAGGACTTTTATCTCTTATTAACTGCATGTATGTACAATGCCTCTGTAGACAAGGCTTCAAGATGCTGAGCAATATCTGCTTATTCTTTCATACATCTGGAAGTGTGCTGTCCCTAGGGAGACGGCATAAATCTCCTTTTACCTCCCACACCAGAAAAAAAAAAAAAAAAAAAAAAAAAAAAAAAAAAAAAAAAGGGGGCTAATAAAAAAACACACCCCGGCCCC